TTTAATGGTCGAGAATGGCTTAAAATGGTAAAACGAAAAGATAAAGTGAAAAAGTAAAATTTCACAAAGTTTGAATCGTCTATTTTCACTTCACCATTTCAAAGAACGAGAATTGGCCCCCCGCACAGTGGTCCAAGACGCCAATCTAGCTGGAAAAAAGTCAATTTGTTTATGTTTCAAAGTTCACATAATTTGTTTGGTAATTGTTAGATAACTATCCACTGTGCATAACTGTATATCAATTTTTTTTTATTTTTTGCGTATTTGCTTTGTTATGATGTTTTGAAAATGAACAATAGCATTGTCACTGTTGTTATAGCAGCTCAGTCGATTGACAACATCACATTTGAACTGATCGTAACATCAAAGAAGAGCAAATTTTGTCCTTATTTTTTTATACCCGAGCGCACTTGTGCACAAGGGTATTATAACTTTGTTCACATAACGGTTGTTTGTAACAGGCAAAACGAATCGAGATAGATATAGACAAATGTATACATAAATGATCAGAATGAAAAAAGAAATCGATTAAGCCATGTCTGTCTGTCCGTCCGTCTGTCCGTCTGTCCGTCTGTCCGTGTACACGATAACTCGAGCAAAAATTGAGATATCTCAACGAAATTTGGTATGTAGGTTTCCCTTAATCCAAGGTAGGTTGGTATTGAAAATGGGCGAAATCGGACTTTAACCACGCCCACTTCCCATATAACGGTAATTTCCAGAAATACGAAAACTGCGATATTTTAGTAACTACTGAAGATAATTCACTCAAAATTGATATTTACAATAATTTTTAGACGAAAAATAAGAATATTATAAATTTTTGGAAAATGGGCGTAGCCACGCCCACTTATGGTTACATGTGTATATCTTGGTAACCGCTGCACCAATTTCTTCCAAACTTGGCACAGTTGTTGGCCTTCGCATAACATACCAAATGGCCGAAAATTTTTAAAATCGCTCAATAACCACGCCTACTTCCCATATAACGGTAATTTTCAGAAATACGAAAACTGCGATATTTTAGTAACTACTGAAGATTATTCACTCAAAATTGATATTTACAATAATTTTTAGACGAAAAATAAGAATATTATAAATTTTTGGAAAATGGGCGTAGCCACGCCCACTTATGGTTACATGTGTATATCTTGGTAACCGCTGCACCAATTTCTTCCAAACTTGGCACAGTTGTTGGCCTTCGCATAACATACCAAATGGCCGAAAATTTTTAAAATCGCTCAATAACCACGCCTACTTCCCATATAACGGTAATTTTCAGAAATACGAAAACTGCGATATTTTAGTAACTACTGAAGATTATTCACTCAAAATTGATATTTACAATAATTTTTAGACGAAAAATAAGAATATTATAAATTTTTGGAAAATGGGCGTAGCCACGCCCACTTATGGTTACATGTGTATATCTTGGTAACCGCTGCACCAATTTCTTCCAAACTTGGCACAGTTGTTGGCCTTGGTACAGCATAAAAAACCGCCGAAACTTTTTAAAATCGGACAATAACCACGCCCACATCCCATATAACGGTAATTTAGAGAAATACAAAATCTTCGATAAATCATTAAATATTGAAGCTAATTTATTCAAAATTGATGCTTGCAACAATTCTTTACCAAGAAATACGTTTATGGTAAAATTTTGGAAAATGGGCGTGGCACCGCCCACTTATGATCAAATATAAGTATATCGGTAACCGTTCTACCAAACTCGGGATAGTTATTGTACTTGCCACGTGTAAGCAAAACGTTGAAAATTATTGAAATCGGACTAAAATAACGGCCGATTCTCATATAACGGTAAATTTAAGAAATGCTTGAAACTTCAATATTTCGAAATTGAAGGACGCTAATTTACTCAAAATTGATACACCTCGGCTTACCATCTAGCGGAAGGTTTCGGAAGGGTGAAAAAACATATATTTAATACTTGCGCCGGGTATTTAATGTTCGGCTCCGCCCGAACTTAGACTTTCTTACTTGTTTTAAACTGCATTATGTCAGGTATGTTTAAGCTATATTATAAATAAATGTCGAATTTAAATGTTGTGTGCAAAATAATAGATAAGAGGAAATATGTGTTTTGTGTAGTAAAAATTTAGCATTTTATGGTTTTTAGAGTAACTTTTAAATAGGATTCCCGTGGATTCCCGTGAAATGAATTGTGCCCTGTTGATCTGGGTAATGTCCACTTTAGATGAAAAAAAAATTGTCTGCAATTATTTACCGGTAAACTTTTTATATACATATATAGACAACATACCCATAACACAGAGAGAACTATATAATGTGTGGATCGCCGAAATGGAAAGCAAAGAAAGGGTACAAGCTGTCATTAGCTATTTTTTTCCTAAGAGTGGGTTACAGAAAACTTAAACAGAAGATTATTGCAATAAAGTTAAGTTAGCTGTACGGAGATTAACGTATTCAATTAACGAAAGATGGATAAAAGCAAAAAGATCTAAGAAATATTTTGAAGACTCCAATAAAATTTGGTTAAATGGAGTATTTGGCCTTCCTTCTAAAAACGTGATTAAAATTCCAGAGGATTTAGGGATCCAACCGTCAACGTCAAATTTTGGTAGACTTCGATCAGATTTTTCAGGTAAATCTGAAAAAGGGAAGCATTTGGAAGTATCGGCTTTAGTTAGTGGATGTTCACCTGAGAAACTAGTTTTCGCTGCTGGCGTTAGTCCTTATAAATCTGGCAAGAGGGATGCTGCCGCGATTCTAAAGAACATAAATGAATCTCCAACGAGGGCAACTAAAATTAAAAAAAATTGTTAATGCACAATCTAAGGAACCAGTACCATTTACAGATGAAGACGCATTACGTCTGTTTATCGATGTAAAATATACAAAAGCAAGTTATAATGCGATGCGTACTGGTGCTAAGATCCGTAACGCGGATCATATCATAGAATTTTGGAAGCTAAAGAAAAGTGCTACCCAAATAATGGAATAAAGGTATCCGATGTAATAGCAGAGGTGCCTCTGCAGGACTTAGTTGATCACACGGCATGTAGAATTTTAAAGTTACAAAAAGAGGGCATAGAGGAATTCAATTATACGGAATTGACTTTGATTTATAAATGGGGATGTGATGGTAGCAGTGGCCACTCAACCTATAAGCAAAACTTTAGTTCAAATGATTCCCGTAAAACAGATGAATATTTGTTTGCAATTTGCTTGGTACCTTTGCAGCTAAAGTACGATAACCATATCATATGGGAAAACCCACGTCCGTCATCAACACGTTTTTGCAGGCCGATTAAACTGATTTTTGAAAAGGAAACAAAATCTTTGATTCAAGATGAAACTAATTACATACAAAATCAAATTAATGCAATAGTGTCAAAAGCTTCTAACATTGAAGATAAAACATTTATTGTTAAACATGTGTTTTATTTAACAATGATTGATGGCAAGGTTTTCTCAATTCATAGCGATTCCTCTACTCAAAGATGTGGTATTTGTGGAGCAACGCCAACCATTATGAATAAATTGCACGAAATTAAAGCCTTGAATTTAAGGGCCAATCTTTACGAATATGGGTTATCGACATTGCATGCGTGGATAAGGTGCCTGGAATGTGTATTGCATATATATATATATATATGTTACAGGTCTATTCTGCGCTGGTAATAAAAATTTTGTAACCGGTAAATTAAGTTCCTGTAAATTTTTAAATCCTTTTCGCATTCTGTATACTCTTGTAACCGGTAAATTTTGTTACCATCTCATAAGCTGGTATCAAATTATTGCCCCGTGAAATATTCTATGCCAGGATTTGCACAATTCTTCATAACTGAATTGCTGAATATTTTAACTGCATTACCAAAGTATTTAGAATCGCGGTGACAAGAACTGGTAACATTTTTTGGTAATACAATTTTCCGGTTACAAAATCTTTGGTAACGTGCAGAATAGACCTTTTAGTGGTTTTGGTTTAAAAAACAAGAAGCTATAAATTATGTACACCAGCTGAAAGACAAATTAGTTATCTTTATGGTGGCGTCATTAGTTTTTTTATCGGTTATACTTACAGTTCGTAAGATATTAATATTTAAAAAAATTTAAAAACTGAACTTTAACCTTCTAGAACATCTTGATTTTTTTACTTGCGCCAAATAATTTTGTCATGGTTGAAATAAGCATAAAAAGTTCTGTTGATCTGCAGCTTTCCTTTTTGAATAGCTGAACGGTCGGTTCCAGGAAATGATGAATAACTTAAATCAAAAATGCACATATTTATGTATTGTTTAGTATTTCCATTAAAACACCAAATATATTGCAAATTTGCATAGAATAAATAATACACATTTTACTTCNCATGTGTGGAGGTGCGCACATTACACCAGCTTAATCGCTCTGACCAATAAGTTGCGATGCAATGGAAAGACTAGCGAGCACATCTAAATTGGCGGCCGATAAAGTCCGTGGTGTGCGATGGCTCTAATCCATTATAAACAAGAAATATTGCTGTTATATTTTCATTTTTATGATTTTTATTCATGTGATTAGCAGTGGCAAAAATGTATGTATAAAATACGTATATTTATATTAAAAATTAAGTGATCAGTTATGAAACATATAAATCTTTACATGTTCTGTTAAAAAATATCTAAAATAACAAGCGATAATCCCCAAGTTCTATATCGTAGCAGTGGCCACATTGCGTGGTTGTCACAGACACGGTTTATGTCAAAAAATTTGAAGTGAAACAACCTTCTAAAAATTATTGTATCATGATCATGCCTTTGAACTACAAATTTTAAAAATTATTTAAATTTTTGTTTACGCTTCGAACACCACGTCAACATACATATACTCGTACCTACATACATGAAATTATAAATTACCAAATATACTTATGTATACATATGTATAAGTACATAAATATTTACATATGTAGAAAACCCACCAGTAAATATTCATAGGTATACCGAATTCAATTAATATATGCAAATATTTCGCAGGTATAATGCAGCAAGATAACGCAGAACAGGTTATACTGGATCCTAAGCTTATCGCTAAGCATTATTTAAAAACATGGTTTTTCCTGGATTTAATTTCTTCGATCCCTCTTGACTACATTTTTTTGATTTTCAATCAAGTAAAGGAAAATATTTTCTCTTTTCTGGAAAGGAAATTTTAACGACATATTTAATTTTACAGGATTTTTCCGATTCCTTTCAAATACTTCATGCGGGGCGTGCTCTTCGTATTCTACGCCTGGCCAAGTTACTTTCTCTGGTTAGATTATTGCGGCTTTCGAGGCTTGTACGCTATGTCTCACAATGGGAGGAAGTATACGTAAGTATGCAATTCTAATCTATAAATAGCATATATCTATATATGTGTATGTTTTTGTATTTGAAGCTGTAAATTGTTAGATTCGATAACGTTTTAATCCCATATAGTTACTAGTTCATATTGAATATGTAATTATTTTAGAGTTCATATTAGATTTCCAAAGGTAAATCACACATATTTTATGTGAAGTTAAGGAACTGCCATACTTCAGTTGATATTCTGCAAAAAAAAAGTGTATCAAAATGTTTCATTCATAGTGCCACGCCTCATATCTGATATGAGGGCACTAAATACTTTTATTTAGTTACATACATACGACAAAAAATTTAAAAGCATAATTCCCATTAGCATAGACCTTGTCCTTTAATAACTGCTACTCCATTTCTTGGTGGTATCAAAATCTTTATATTTTAGCAGGAAATGTCTCTTTTATTAATTTAACTTCGATGCGTTTTTTTCCAAACGCTAACAAAAAGGTGGTTATAATTCCAGATGTCGTCTCATAATGCTTTGAGTAGTGAACAATTTTATAATACTACAAGCGTATACTTTACATTTGAAGTCTTCGTAATCAACTTATAAGCCCTACGTAATTTTTTAGTTAAGTTGACAGCAAAATCTTAAATAAAATTATAGTTTAAAAACTAAAAACTCGCTTTTATTCAAATAAGAACTAAAAAGTAGAAAATAATTTATAGACATAAAGATTTCCTTTGAGAGGAACTGGAAGTTCCATAACTTGATTTAATTAAACTTTTAAAACCAACCTAAAATAGTAAATAGGAAAACAAAACGTGGGGTGCTCGACATCAATTAATTTGAACTTTTCATTTTCAGTTAAGTAATATTGAATATTGTCAATAGCAGGACTATGAAATCTAAGAAGCACCCCTCGCTTTGTTTTACGTTAAAATTAATTTTTTTGTCAATTACTGTAATACTATTTTACGTTGGTCTTAGAAGTTTAATTAAAGCAAGTTAAGGAATTATATTCTTCTCAAAGGAAATTTACATTTATATTAATTATTTTCTACTTTTTAATTCACATTTGAATAAAAGTGAGTTTTTAGTTTTTTAAACTATAATTTTTTTTCATATTTTAAGTCTTAAATTCAATTGATTTTAAAATTATTATGTATATAACGAATAGAATAACACGAAATCAATCGTTGGAATTTTCATTCGTACTGTCATCAGCAGGGAACGGATTTTATGGAAATTGCCTTTTTTTCTGCTAAAGAGATATAGTATATTCGATTAAGAATGTCCACGATTTAGCTTTCCCTGATTCCATATATGGGCATTTCCCAAAAAAGGTAAACCGAAAATGCAAGTAAATGAATTTAAACGGCTTTATAACTTTATATTTCGCATTCAGATGGCGAAAAGAGGTTTTGAAAACGGGAAGCTGTGGAGAGAAGAACTGAAAAAATTAAATAAAAAATTAAATTTAGAATGTGTTACTATAAAAATATTGTATGGGGGGAAAATCTGTCGCGTCCGTTACCAGATTTTAATTCAAAATTAAATCAACAACAAATTGCTTCTGATTAAAAATGAATTGGTTGTAACGGTCCATAATTAGACTTTATTTAAAGAATGTTTAATAAAGGAAAACCTTACACGATTCGCTGAGTTTTGCTTAGTTTTAACATGTACTCTGAAATCACTTCTGTTTTTGTCGCGTGCGTTATGCCCTACTTTTCATCGATTTTCTCGACTTCAGTGTGCCAAGCGCACCAAGTTTTTTGTCAACCAAAGGACGGTATAAAAGCACACAACAGCACATTTTTTTTTACAAGGACTTCAGTTTTCGTATGATTTATTTAACTCTAAAGTCGTACGAATGTCGCGTCCGTAACCCAGGAAATACCCATATACACATTTGATGTTGCCTTTTTTAAGATATTTGCCTTTTTTAAGATATTTGCCTTTTTTGCCTTTTCTACCTTTAAAAAAGTGATTATAGCATTTACAATTTTTTTTTTTTAAGATTAAAAAATATACACAAGCCCACGTGGCTTATAGAATCGCAGGGACCTCTTGCCAAATTGGTGTTGGAAAAATTCAAAGCCGTTTTCTCAGCTAACGTAGGCTTGGAGACAATAAGGCGTGAGGATAAAATTGTAAAGGGCGACGAAAACGCCCTTATTCCTGATAATATGAACGTTTCAAACGTTCCATATTTAAATTGGGCTCCCCTTGTATCAACTTACGTATAGCGCACATTTAGTACATTCAAGGATTTCTTCGCGAAAATCGAATGAAAATGCTGCCAGAAAACTTCAAAATGCATCTTGTGGTTCAATATTACTACAACTATTCAGATTAAAGTTTTATGAGTTAGAAACTCGAAAGGATAAAATAGTCAAAATTCAAAGTAAAATTTTTCATATAATGAAACTAGTTCATAGTTTTTCTCTTTTTACTTGTAATATAAACATTTCTAAAATAAATGTATTTTTTTGATTGTTCTTCGTATTTTCTTTCTTTTTTTAGTGCCTTATTTTGCTTTTTTTTGCAATACCTAGTACCTTTTCCTGCCTTTTTCGCTATTTTGTTTTGCCTTTTTTGCAATACCTAGTGCCTTTTCCTGCCTATTTCGTTATTTTATTTTGCCTTTTTATAGGTTTTTAGGTCCTAAAAATCCGTTCCCTGGTCATCAGGTAACTTTAAAATGGAAGTTTAAAGCAATTCCCATTCGTACTGTCATTAGGTATGTAACTTAATAATGAAAAGGTCTGCATCTTTTAGGCGCATCATTATTAAATAGGGCCGTTTTCACCATCTCTGGTTAACACTAATCTCCAGTTAAGCATCGTTACCGACGTTATCGGGAATTTTTAGAAAAAATGTTGGTATGCAGTTTACCAGCCGGTTAAATTTTAGTTTATCTAATAAAATGCTAGCTTGAAGGAGCTAGGACTTACTAGTTGATTTTATAAACAAAATAAAAAAGCTAAAACTAGTTAAAATATCGCATCTCTATTTTTTTGTCCACCCCCACACGTCGTAACAAGTTCAAACGATTCATTGAGTGAGACAGTGTGCGTTGAAAGCATTATGTAAAACGTAGAACTAGATTAAATATTAGTACAGGACCACGCTTCCTTGTTACCAACACTACTAACCAAAATGGTGGCAATATGAGGAACGAATTTTTACATTAACTACACGATGTCATTGGACAAGACCACATCTGGTCCATCGCTGCATAACATAGGACCGCCTACACAACTATCCCGTTTGAATCATGAACTAACTGCTTTTAAAAAAATAATAAAATTTATTTAAAATTCATTTTTTTTAAATCTCTTTACTAATATTCACATACCGCAACCAAATTAAATTGCCCGGTGATGCGAAGATGTGGTTTTCAACAAATATTTAATTTTTCACATTTGACATTGTCTAGGTCAGCATAACAAGTTAGTAGTATGTAACCTGCTCCTATTGCACACAGTATGTGCCACATGCGCTCTTGGAGCAATGGTCTGCTCATCACTGACTTGAAATATCAAATTTGTCATTTAGGGCCTTTTGAATTTATTACGTGTGTAGACTCATATCCATATTTTTGTTTTTAATATGATTCCACTTTAAATTCTACTTATTAAGCTCCCATATGAGAATTAATGAATACATTTCATTAATTATTTTCTTCACATTTTATCATAGTTTTCGTTCAAGCTTATTTGTATTATCATTGATTGGCAGCTATCAATTTAAAAATGTCACATTTTCACTTGCAAATATTTATAGTAACACAAAAAACCATGTCGATACTATAAATGCAGTTTTAAGAAAAATATGAACCTTTTAGGATAGTTCAGGCACTTATTAGTAAGCATTTATTTTCAGAAAACGGTACTTGGGATTCTTAGTGCCTCCTAAATAATTTGTTTATAAATAATCAAAGTGACTTAAAAGGCATAACGTAGAGTAGGGTCCATTGTTTTACTGCTATTTCAGTGCTGTTTCTTTATTCAGTATCTTTATATGTATGCATATTTAATTTAACTGCTTCAGTTAAAAATTCAATTAGAGGATGTGAAACCTTCATGATATATTAGTTATAGGCGCTAGGCGATTCTAGAGAGAGGTAGATGATTTGCGGCATAAAATTTGAAATACCCCAATATATCTCTAATACCTCGACATGTCTCGATATATATAAGCTAATGTCTGCATGCATATGTAAAAAAACAATTACACTAAGCTGTACGCATCTTTGGCGCTACCTCTAAAAAGAATTCCACTTATATTTTCTCCCCCCTTTTAAAACGCTGAACTGCTTTATTTTCCTAAATCCTCAATATATTATTTAAATAAAAAAGCTCGAATGATGACTGCCGAAATATCTTAATAGATTTAGAATAAGTAATTTTTTAATAATTGTTAGTGTCAAGAAATATCAATTATCAATGTTTTAGTCTACCTATCAAACTATTTTAAATGTTTCATATTTTTTATCAAACATATACATACATATATATTATTTTAAAATAGGTTGCTTAAAATATTTACATCGTCAGATATTTATATAGTATATGATTCCTATGGCAATTTTAAAAAGGTATGGTTCAATATTTTTTATTTACCAAATGAGGCGTGGCAGTGCCGATTTCCTGCTTAATCATATAACACCAATATATATGCTTTAAAAGAAACACATTCACATAAAATAGAAAATATGAATACTAAAAATTACAAATATGTGTATCTTTCCTTATTCTACATATAGAACTTTAAATTAATTTCGGTACTCTTTTGAAAACTGCTTAAGTAGTAAAAATATTTCGTATAAATGGTCAACCGAAATTCCAAATTTCGGATTCTTTCACAGAGACTCATTTGTAAGGCTAATTTAAAAAAGGTTCTAGATCTTGTGCTGCCTTTAAAAACACATCTCTGTGTTTTTCACTCGCAAAAAGACAATTCAATAATGAATTGAGCAGATCCTAAGAATATTCTTGGGTATTCGAAAACAAATGGAAATTTCTTCCTAATCCAAAAGAATCTTAAAATATATATATATTTTTTTTATTCAGACATACATTCGATTGCAAAAGTTTCAGTATCAATGCAATTACATACATATGTAGGTACAAATATATTATATATCTACTTAACGATAATATACATATGTACATATTAATTATTGAAAGCCCATCAGTTATTTACTATTGACACACAAACCGAACGATAACCGCTTCGTTCGTAATTTCAATCACAATTCCAATTAAAATTTTTACACATCAAATATATGTATGTAGCATCGTATTTTTTCGTACAAAAAAAAATAAAATAAAATAAAACTACATACACTTTGACATACTGCGATTCCAATACATTTGCANATAAAAAATAAAACTACATACACTTTGACATACTGCGATTCCAATACATTTGCAAATACCAACTACTAAATATTGCACACTTTTATACGAATATGATTAATATTTAAATACTCTATGTAACTTAATAATGGTGAAATATATACCAAGAAAATTAGCTTATCGGTATGTATGGTTCTAGATTCTGCAGAATCTGCAAAAAAAAAGTGCCGATCGAAGAGGGAGAATGCATAGAAAAGACAAAGATGGCTTGACTAAAAGCAACCTCATTCTGAAGGTAACCCAACCAACAATTTTCAACATTTTTTAAATGCAACCCTTGATTGAATAATTCATTATGATTGATTGATTAATTGATTGCTGTTATAGTTAAATATTATTGATTCACTAACGAGGAATGATTTACCCTGTTTCAGTTTTAAATAGTGGCATTTTTTTATTTTCGTTCTTTTAGTTATCATGATTGCTTACTTTTGAATTAATAATATTTCTAAACATTCCTTTTAGATTGACGAAAACCTGTTTTGATGCATAAAAATTCTAATTGCTTCTTTACTTGTAACGCACTTACACACACAGTACTTATTAAACATATGTATATTATGAGCGGCGTGGCGTTACAACACAACATTTATCCCTCTCAAAGTCGGTGTTTAAAATAAAAAACAAAAACAATTTAGTAATAATCTTAAAATATGGAAATAATATTTCGAGGGTTTACAAATTTTAAAATTTTATGAGTTCCAGACTTTTTTTTAACCACCTCTAACATAATTGACATCGATTATATTTCTGTTGACCGCATGTGAGGCCATCAAAACCAGAGTATCAAATCTGCAAAAATATAAGATATTATACGATATTATGAGAGAATGAAGTAATAAACAGCACTTCTTGGATCAAAACTACAATTAATTTCGGCTTCCTGTTGCCACCTATTATAAAATGGGTGCTACTCTGGTTATACTTAATCAACACGTTTATAGTTACTTTTTTTTGGCTACATCTCTGTTTTCCCCAAAAATGCACATGTATGAACTATTCTGGTTCTAATGGCCTTATATGCGCATATACCATTTTAAAGCAAGGACCGTAACTGTTATAATCTTTATGAAAAAAAAACTTAATTTAACCAGCAGACAATGTCCACCAGCTTCTGCGCCTTCCTGATAACGGAAAAATCCAACTCCCGTATAATCGCTTGCAAAAAAGTTGACTCTCTATCGGCATAGTTTCCTACATAGCACCTTCTTTTGCCGGTGTACCCCAGAATCCAGTATAGATGTATGTACGTCAGTGCCAGTATGTAGCAAATCTAGAGCCAGAGCTATCCTGCACTCCACAACACTACTTGAAGAAGTGCTGTGCGATAGAATTGCCTGTATCGCAGCCTGACTGTCTATGTAGAGATTCACTTGTTTATTTACTAGATCGCTGCTCAATAGATTTGCCGCTCTCATTATGACTAGTACTTAGACTGCAGTAGTTCCGCAGCTTACAGGTTTTTTAAAGACCTAGCTCCGCGCAGACGACTTCCGCCCCTACGCCTTTATGCGGCTTCGACCCGTTTGTGTAGACATTCACCGAGTCAGCACTCCTAGTGCCCTCAGGCCAGCCTTCGTCCTCTTACCATTATTGTCGTCATTCTACAATGGCTTGCTTAGGCACATGGTTGAAGGCCCCCGCTATGTCCAGAAAAACCGCCACTACGAATGCTCCGTTTTCCTGAACCACGTAAATTCGTCTAACAACATTGTGTAGGGCGGTTTCTACCGATTTTCAATTCGTTTAAGCGTGCTGTGTCTTCGAGAACATACGCGCGGTACGTTTTGTTTAATAAGTACGCCCATTAACCTCTCCAGGGTCTTTTGAAGAAACGATGTTAAGCTAATAGTCCTTATGGTATGCGTGGCTACTTCTATCCACTTTTGGCAAGAATACCACCCTCCCATTCCTCAAAGACGTTGAAACGACTCGTCTGCAACAACATCGAAGGAAAAACGCCGTATTGACCCGCCGACTTGTACAGCCAAAAGGAGCTCAAAGCCCACTCTATTCTGGAGGACGCACAGTGTTTCGCCTATAAGGAGGCGGGTGAAAAGAATAGTAAACTCGTAAATACCAAGGTTATGCTTAAAAATTACATAGCCATAAATATTCTCAATTCTTTTAGTTTTTTGCGGGATTTCTTCTTTGTTAAGAAAATTATTTTCGCGAAATTACGCAAAAATAAAATAAAATCCAAAAATTTAGAAAATCGAAATTACATGTATTTGCAAAGTCACGNTCGGGTGAAAAGAATAGTAAACTCGCAAAAAATGTGGGCCCAATCATGGATTATTGGAATTTAGGTTAATTTCAGTACTTCGCTTTCCACTCTCAGAAATACCAAGGTTATGCTTAAAAATTACATAGATATAAATATTCTCAATTCTTTTAATTTTTTGCGGGATTTCTTCTTTGTTAAGAAAATTATTTTCCAAAATCCAAAAATTTAGAAAATCGAAATTACATGTATTTGCAAAGTCACGCAAAAAAAACAATTATAAGCTCAGGGACTACAGAACATTTTCTAAAACATGCGTTTAATTTCAAGACCCGACGAACCAGTGTCACATGTTTTATACCCGAGCGCACTTGTGCACAAGGATATTATAACTTTGTTCACATAACGGTTGTTTGTAACAGGCAAAACTCATCGAGATAGATATAGACAAATGTATACATAAATGATCAGAATGAAAAAAGAAATCGATTAAGCGGTGACTGTCTGTCCGTCCGTCTGTGTGCACGATAACTCGAGTAAAAATTTAGAAATCTTAACGAAACTTCGTAGGTGTACTTATTTCGGGCGAAGTACGGATGGTATTGAAAATGAGCAAAATCGGACAATAACCACGCCTACCTGTAACGGTAGTTTTCAGAAATACGAAAACTCCGATATTTTAATAACTACTGAAGATTGTTCCCTCAAAATTGACATTTACTATAATTTTTAGACGAAAAATAAGTGCATTATAAATTTTTGGAAAATGGACGTAGCCACGCCCACTTAAGATTACATAAGTATATCTTGGTAACCGCTCAACCAATTTTTTTTAAAAATCGGACAATACCCACGCACACATCCCATATAACGGTAATTTAGACAAATAAGAAATCTTCGATAAATCAGTATGCACCATGGTATGGTACCAAAGTCGGTATGATTATTGTGCTTGCCACATAAAAGCGGAACTTTGAAAATTATTGAAATCGGACTAAAATTGCGCCCACTTTTCGCATAACGGTAAATTTCCGAAATGCTTGAAACTTCGATATTTCGAAATTTAAGGGCGCTAATTTACTCAAAATTGATACTAACNCCTACCTGTAACGGTAGTTTTCAGAAATACGAAAACTCCGATATTTTAATAACTACTGAATATTATTCCCTCAAAATTGACATTTACTATAATTTTTAGACGAAAAATAGGTGCATTATAAATTTTTGGAAAATGGACGTAGCCACGCCCACTTAAGATTACATAAGTATATCTTGGTAACCGCTCAACCAATTTTTTTAAAAAATCGGACAATACCCACGCACACATCCCATATAACGGTAATTTAGACAAATAAGAAATCTTCGATAAATCAGTATGCACCATGGTATGGTACCAAAGTCGGTATGATTATTGTGCTTGCCACATAAAAGCGGAACTTTGAAAATTATTGAAATCGGACTAAAATTGCGCCCACTTTTCGCATAACGGTAAATTTCCGAAATGCTTGAAACTTCGATATTTCGAAATTTAAGGGCGCTAATTTACTCAAAATTGATACTAACAAAAATCCCTTGAAAAGAAGTAGCATTATTATGGAATTTCGGAAAATGGGCGATTGGATCGAAGATGTTTGAAATAGGGGTAAAACCACCTCTGCTTACCATGTAGAGGTAGTTTTCGGAAAGGTGAAAAAACTATATTTAATACTTGCGCCGGGTATTTAATGTTCGGTTCCGTCAAACTTAGACTTTTTTTACTTGTTTTACTAATAATCTTTAGCAACTGCAATTCCAAGTCAATTTTTCGATAAGAATAGAAGAAAATACCAAATAAAAGATAAATACCTTAAACTTAAAGAATTGATTACAGTTGACACAGAGACACTTGCTTCTGTGGGTTCAGCGCCAAACGCAACTAAACTGATTAGTCGATATCACACAAATTCTAGTATTTTCTTAGAAATATACCGTTCGAGAGACGGGGTGAGTAAGTAAAGTAAAAAATTTTGCATTTATTACTTTTAGTTTTTCTCTCTAAGCCCAACAGGTTTTTTATCAACTGCCACCATAACTTTTTTCCACCTTCCTCCATATGTATAGTCAAAGCACTGTGAGGCGTAATTAGCTCTCTAACAAGGCTACCTCCTTCCGCAATCCTCGGCCCCAGGGAAGTGAGTGTAATAATATATCGAAACATACCTCGCCTCATTATGTATACTCGCCAAACGCGATAAGGATTTTGCAATGATCTAAATATAAATATCTTGGTATTTAACGGCTATTTTCGGTCCCTGCTTTGAAGTATATTTTACTATTTGATATCACATTTATAATTAATGTCAGAGATCAAATTTAAGTCACAGAAATCCGAAATTTCTGAAAACGGATATTGAGTATAAGCCCTCGATATGTATTTTAATGCCTATTTACAGATGTGCATACAAATGTCTGTACAGTTGTATGTACATATGTATGTAGTAAATCCTTTTAATACTGATTTCGATGTAGGGAATTTGTTGGTTGGCTCGACACCAAGTTTTTATACTAAATGCTTTTGCTTCATTTAAACCACACTGTGTATGTACATACAATTAGCGCTTGAGCGAAGCCAATTCTTTAATTTAATGCGATCAGTTGATTTTATGTGAAATAAAAATTGTATTGTATAGATAAGTACATACATGCACACATACCAAATTATCAACTTTTATCTTTTAAGCATACATACATACATATGTACATAAGCATTAATTTTTGCAGGCTCTCCTGCATTCGTTTTTTGTAAATATGTACATATCGATGGTCCTGTGCAATAACGACACGATTCAAATTTCAAAAAATAAAAACTGTTACTACTGTTAAGTGGCTCATGTCTCTAATCCTGGTCGAATCCATGTCTTACTTACTTACTTTAGCAATCCTTACTGTTTAATTTAGTAAGAGATGGAAATGGATTAGATAAGGAGTAGAGACAAGAGCCACTTAACAGTAGTAACAGTTTTAATTTTTTG